GTTGGGTTTCACATGGTAGCTGAAATACTTTTCATGGCGGCCACACTTCTGGTTTGCCTTTAACTGAGCAAGCAGACTCCAAACCATCCAAATCTTTTCTGTTGTGTTCATTTCTCCTCGGTCTACTGTGGATCAACTCCTTGTTTATGTAACTTTCCCCCCACCCCACCCCCCGGAGCAGATGTCCAGCCGCAGCAGACCGCAGTCCAAACAGTGACTGACTGTCTGGAAACCTGCTGGACTGCCCTCCAGTGTTTGACCACTGCAGACGCTGTCCACAAACACACTCTCACACACAAACAAACAGCTGCAGTTGGATGTGATGTGGTGCGTCCATTTGACCTGCTGTGTCCTGTTACTGCTGTGTTTTACACCACGGAAAGACGCGAGCAGAGAATGAATGACTGTGGAGAGAGCGCTTACACATGTAATAATAATAATAATTATTATTATTGTTGTTGTTATGGGGCGCGTTTAAGTGCATGGTTGCAATTCACAGGCTGCCACATGGGCGGCAACTCTCTGCTCTGTGCTTGCAAGGCAGGCTTGCTAATCACCAAACTATATTTGAATAATCCCAGTGAATCATGATAACACAAGATCAATCAACAATCCTGAATATTCCACTGTCCATCCACTTAACATCATTCTAATACACATACTGTCATTCACACACTGCAGGAAAGAGTTTTTGCTTCACTGAAGCACCTTTAGCTTCAAATACCACCATTAAGTCCAGCTAACAATTTTAGAGTGGACCATATTTTTGTTATCAATAATTACATCATTTGGATTAGTCACGAATAAAAACAGAATTTCCTGGCTGTGATTTGGCTTTCTGTTCCAGTAATTTACACACAAATGTCATATTTACCGTAGTACTGTGATTTACCTCAATTAATCATGATTTATTGTCAACAATTGCGATCACTATTGTTCAGAATTAATCATAATTTATTCTTATCTAATCTATGAGAAATGGGATTAAACTGTAATCGGTGTAAATACATCAATACATTTATGATTTTGATACAAACATTTTTTCAATATTGTACAAAGTGGTGCATGTTAGCTTGGCACTAATTAAATGTTTTATAAATATTCTCCAGGGAAATTTTACTACATAACCAATCAGTAGTCATTGAACTGCAGCTCCTTAATTATTAACCACCTGTTTATTCATCAAAGTCTAAACAAACAGTTGTTGGCAAATCAAAGACCACAAAAGTTTTGGCTGATAAAAGCAGTAAAAGACTGCACACGGCATCAGATCAGACTTGGAAAATGTACTTACCAAAAAAAAAATGACATGAGTGAAAAAGTAATTTGACATTTTGAACATGACACTTCACTAAAATGTAGTTTCAGGTTGTGGTAAAGTGAGTAGTAATGTAGTAAAGTACGTGGAGTGGTTTAGTTTCATTTCAGTTTTGGCACAGATAGATAAGCTGCAGCTAACATCCTCCTCTGCTCTTCGTGGAATTCAACATGAACATGAATGTGGACATCCAAAGGGCCTATAGATCATCATGTGATTTTCCCAACTTGAAATTCAGCCAACCCTGTTGTGGGTTAGACTGGATCTTGTCCCAGAGAAGGGTTACACCCTGATGACAAATTTAATGCGCATGTACTTTATATCACTGGTGTTAGGAGAAAAAATAAACAAAACACTACTAAAAAATGTCACTTTAAAGCACTTAAACATATACCAGCTGATTGTAGGGATGTTTTGACTTTGTCTAGACACGAAAGTTTTGTTTTCAAGAGGTCATTTCTAAGGGTTTTTTAATAGTGCAAACCCTATTTTCAGAACATGTAGTCGACTTCAACAATTTAGATTTTTTTTTTTTACAGGAAAGCCACAATTTAACAGTAAAAACAAACACATAATTAACAAGTAACCTTCAAAATAACCTTGATCACCTGCAGTGAGCTGAAGTAAAAGTTGTGTTAAAGAGATCAGTGAAATGTAAAAATAGGTTTAAATCTGATTTCTGTTCAACTGTACGACCAAAACTGATATATTTAATGCACTAGAAATGAATGGGTTTTTTTTATTAGGTACAGTCTGATTATTTTGGTTGAATTACAAACCTCAGTCTTGGCTGTTTAATCAGAAACCACCAAACTTCTCTGATAGATGTATAGTCACATGGGCTCAGGACATTTTTTGGAAAACTTTGTGGTTTAACACACTCGTCCCTGCATCAAAAACGTTCCCTGAAACCAAAAAGGAACCAATAGTTTAATACACAAATTCCTTCAGGTTTTCTCAAAAGGTCATGGAAATGGGTTTAGTGGTCGGATAATTCTAGAATACATTTGTTTTTAGGAAATTGGACGTTCATCATGGGCATCGAGGCTGAAAAGGGGAAAAGCCCCTGTGCAGTATGTAACAGTATAGCTATACGATGAAATTAAACAAAGGTTACGGCAAAAGTACATTAGTATTTAACTACGTAGAGTAAATATCAGCAGCTGCACTCATGTAATATTACCCTTATAAATAAGTGCAAAAGAGCAATATATATTAATATAGCAGCAATATCACAGCTATGCCAGTGACAACTCATATGATATAAGACATACAAAACAGTGTAAATGTCTGTAATGTCTTTTTTAAATGTTTTTAAATCAAACTAAGAAAATGATTTCATGACCTTTTACTACTGTGAATATATTGCAGGTGTTGGATTGTAAATGCTTCACAATGTAAACATTTTGTTTTGCAAAGGAATATTTTTTATTTCTTTTGTCTGAAAAATGTAGACTGCACACAAGTCTAGATAGTCTGTACTAGAAAAGCAAAATATTAAAATTACAGTTCACAAAACTGTTGAGACAATTTCATTAAAACGATATTAAAACAAATGTATGAGAAAATCTAGTTTTTTAAGGTTTTATTTTTAGTCATGGAGTCAAATGTTTTTAAAAGGAAGTAAATATGAGTTGATTTTTGTGATTACTGTAACTAAATACTGCTTGTTTGTATACCACTTGGACTAGGAACACTGAGCAGACAAAATGACCTATGTGTCAAATGGTGCAAAGTCATCTGGTATCACAGTGACAGAGGATATATCATATTTATTTGAGCATTGTGTATAACATGACCCAGGATCAGAGTGATGAAGAGACAAAGTCATCCTTGTTTAATCTGGGATGGTCTGACAAAGTCCAAGCCACTTTTCCAGTTTTCTGCTGGTTAAATGTTCGACTGTTTGACAGGCAGCACAAAGATCCACCAGTACAACAAATGACATTTGACCCGCACCGTCCAGATGAATATGGCTGCTTGTTAGGAAATCCATACGACCTCCTGGTCTATTTCAGTCTAACATGCCATTCTACTTTATGGGCCTGACATACAGCAGGGAACCTCACCAACTTTTCCTTTTGGTTGAGCTTCTCTTCCTGCTCCGTCTCCTTCTAACCCCCCCCTGAAGCCCCCATCTCTGGCCTCTTTGACCTTCTCTCTTCTTCCTGTCCCTTCCCCCACACCACTCTCCCCCCACCCTCTTTATCCTCCTCGGGATAGAAAAACACCAAATGTAGTGTAGTGAGACCACCAGGAACCGCCTACACCTCCCACAGTCTGTTGTCTGTGCAAATCACTGCTGCTTTCTTTATTCTCACAATTATGCAGTTGATGAAGAAGTTAGGGTTAGGGTTAAATTTTAACAACTTTTGAGACAGAAGATTGGATGATTGTTAAGTTAAGTTCCTGTCACATTTATCAGTAGTAAATCCATGAAGCATGCCCTCTGTCCTGAGTGACCAGCAGGGGTCACAGAGGATTTTAGCTTCATGGCTCAATCAAAACAACAAGA